TGTCATACACAGGGAAGAACAGGGGTAAAAGTCTCTACAATAAAGTTATTTATTTGTTCAATAATAAAACAAAATCAACACAATACTATCATATCATTGTGGCTCTCCATCACACTCAACAGAGACCAACAAAATCAGCAAATTTTCTGTTAATCAATAAACTCTAAAATGTGTTTCTACAATATTTGTATAAAATGACTGGGACATAAGAAGGGAGGCAACTCTAAGTGCTGGAAGAGTGAAACTTTTGAAGAATTCACTCCAAATGAACTGCAGAATGATGCAATACCAATATTATACATCAAGATATCACTAAAAATTTGTTGATATCAATTTAAAAAATGCCACAAACATCTTTTCATATACATCAATATATCATAAACAAAAACAATAGCTTTTTACCATAAGACATCATCATTTACCTAGAAAATAAATACAACGTCAATAAATAAAGGGGACTATTTACATCGTGAATAATTAATAAAAATCTATCTTAGATATATATTATAATATACTCTTTAAAAAATCATAAAGCTAAAGTATAACAAACATCAACAGATCAATGTTCTTCACAACACACCTATCAATAATTCATTGGTCCAAATATGTTACATGGAGGACCTTGCATTCTTTCAAACAACAATGGTTGTTTCCAATTTATAGGAATAGTTCTACTGACACAGCAAACAAAAAGGCTGAAAACTTCATCAAATGTCAACACAGGTTGATAGCTGGTTTAGACACTTTATTGTAACATCAACAAGTAGATGGTAAACATATATCACAATAAATCACATACTTTATCAGAACAACTGTAAGTAAAATCACATTGTATCCTTCTATACACAGGAGATTCACTTTTGGAGAAAAGGTTTTAACATTGCTGTCACTTTTGATGTTTTTCTAACAATATCTAAAAAAAATACATCCCAGAGGGCTCTTGGCAACAACTATCTTTTGATTTCCATTTGCTCTTCAAAAGGTGTCTCTTCTCCCTTCCATTTTTCTCTTCTTTCATCTTATTTGCCTTTAATTATATGAAATTTGAGAATTCCTCTCAGAAATAGCAAAATAATCTCTAACTGTCAAATAAAATGGTCTTGTCAGCCAAAACAAAGAGGGCACAAATTCAGGGACTTCTTGGGAACCGTCATATGAAATTTCAGCAACATTCATTTGGTACTTTGGTACAAGGAATAGTGAAATCAAGAACTGAATATAGACGGACGACAGACATAGGGGGGATTTCAATACCTGGTAGCTTACCATCTGATGATGATTGGCTAAAACCCAGCACAGTACAAAAAATGTTCAAAATACCGCTTACTTATGGAGAACAAGAAAAATTAAATACAGATCATTGCAAACACACGGCAGTGACATATCCCACCAAACACAAGAACTTGAAAGCATAACCAGATGCCTAATGAACCTGTATCACTCAACCATTTCCCCTTTATTCAGTTACCGTAGTGTGTTCTTCCAATAAACAGTGAATTTGTCAGATTGTCTTAGTGTGTATGTCATGATTTCATATCTGTTGCTCATTTTGAAAATGAAAACAAATAAATGGGATCCTTATCTGATCAGATACATTGTTGTAAATTCCTATGACCCCTGATCATTTAATTCAAGTGTTGTCAGGATAACTGTATCAACATGTACAGAATGCATGGTTATAGAGTGGGAATAGCAAATATTTCCAGGTCATTATCTATGGGCCTGTTCTTCATGGAGCATGGATTTGCAAGGTAAATCCAGACTTTTTTCTCTTCATTACTGTGGAGTTGGACCCTTAGGCTGAGTCCAGTAACATTGCTTTTGTCTCCAAGTCCTAGCAGTTTATGAATAAAGGGTGAGGAACTCATCCAGTTTTATATCTGATTTAATCGGGAACTACCTATTTTCAACACATTCACACTGCCTTATGCAGTAGATGCTTCAAGCCAAAATTAGTTAAAATCTGTTTGATAGTTCTAAAGAAGAAGTCATTTACAGAAAAGTTAAAATTGACAGACGATAGATGCTGTGCCATGAAAATAATAATAATAAAAAAAATCCCAATAAATACAGAAACAGCGGAAGCCCAATCAGGTAAAAAAAAAAAACCCCAAAAAAACAAACAAAACATTAGCAATTAAATAAAACAAGAAATATTATGATGAAATATCAGCTCAAATGAAGAATTCAATTAAGATTCCTCAATAACTCGAGTAAATTACTCATTAAAGGTTTGACTTTATCAAATATTATTATAATGAATATTATCTGACATGATTTATCTAACGGAATATACCATTACGTATCAAACCGGACAGTTACATACCTGATTACTTATCGTGTATGGTGTAGTGATTAATTATTGCACTGAGCACACATGATACTCTGGACAAAATGGGACAACATTAATTCTATTTACAATTCATTAACAAATACAAATAGTTTAATCTGAACAATCAAGGAAATGATAACAAAAAAAAAAAAGGGAAAAACAAACAAAAAAAAAAGAAAAATAAGAAAAAACCTTCAACTACAATATTGCAACTATCCTATGGTAAAATGCACGAGAAGAAATTAATTCTTTTCTATATAAATCGATACTTAGAAATTTTTAACAGCATTACAAAACCGTGTGTAACATGTAAAGGATCCTATCAATAGAAAAATATTCTAAAAATGCAACAAAACCTGATACTTCATCAAGATAAAAACAGCAGATTTTTACAACACAACAACAAAGCATCTGGTGGTAACTAAACACAGAAAAGGGAGATTTCTCCACAAATATAACTTCACTTACAATTTTTTGACCTTCAAACTCTCTTTCTTGACATTTTCTCAGTGAGATATATCGTTTGGCTAATGGATTGAAAATAATTCAAGGGACAGGTTTTTATACTTACTTTAATTTTCTAGTAAAAATTCAACATCAACAGTGAAGCAAGGGAGATAATTCTAATACAACTCTCAATATCATAGTGAAGCAAGGGAGATAATCCCAAGACAAATTCAAATACCATGATGAACAAGAGCAATCCCCTTCAGACATACATCCCAATACATAGTAGGACAAGGGAGGTAATCCTAAGGCATATGCCAACACTAACATAAAATAAGGGAGATAATTTTAAGAAAAGTCCCTATACTATAGTGAAGCAATGGAAATAATCCTAGGAAATATCCCAACATTGAAGTAAAACATGGGAGATAATCTTATGCAAAAGTGTTTCTGAATTACTGATTTTGCCTTTCTGATATGTTTTAAAATCCAAGCATTTATAAGAGGCAGATAAGATCTGCATCCTCACTTTAAAGTTTTGCAATTAATAATCATATTACAAAGATATTCTCAGAAGTAGAATTAAAACAAAATAAATCTCCATTTAAAAAAGATTGCTCAAGGCCCATTTTGGTAAAAATCTCTTTAATAAAAAAAAGACGGACAAAAAAACCCTGCATTTCCCTAATAATGGACCAACTCTCCTCAAGGACATCAGACCTCTGATATATAGAAACAAAAAATGAATCCTGATTAACCAAAGTTACTGAAGAACAAATTTGGTCAAAATTCTATCCAGACCAGTAGAATTTTAGCGAAAACACTTACAGACAGATGAATCGTACATGAAAAATGAAGCTTGTGTGTGGCTAAATAGTCTGTGAGAATTTCCTCGATAAGTGAGACTAGTAAATGTGTATGATAGATGGTTTGTGAGAATTTCCTCGATAAGTGAGACTAGTAAATGTGTATGATAGATGGTGTGTGAGAATTTCCTCATTGTGAGACTAGTAAATGAGTATGATAGATTATATGTGAGAATTTCCTTGATAAGTTAGACTTGTAAATGTGTATGATAGATGGTGTGTGAGAATTTCCTCGATAAGTTAGACTAGTAAATGTGTATGATAGATGGTGTGTGAGAATTTCCTCGATAAGTTAGACTTGTAAATGTGTATGATAGATGGTGTGTGAGAATTTCCTCGATAAGTTAGACTAGTAAATGTGTATGATAGATGGTGTGTGAGAATTTCCTCATTGTGAGACTAGTAAATGAGTATGATAGATGGTGTGTGAGAATTTCCTTGATAAGTGAGACTAGTAAATGTGTATGATAAATGGTGTGTGAGAATTTCCTCGATAAGCGAGACTAGTAAATGTGTATGATAGATGGTGTGTGAGAATTTCCTTGATAAGTGAGACTAGTAAATGTGTATGATAGATGGTGTGTGAGAATTTCCTCGATAAGTTAGACTAGTAAATGTGTATGATAGATGGTGTGTGAGAATTTCCTTGATAAGTGAGACTAGTAAATGTGTATGATAGATGGTGTGTGAGAATTTCCTCGATAAGTTAGACTAGTAAATGTGTATGATAGATGGTGTGTGAGAAATTCCTCGATAAGTGAGACTAGTAAATGTGTATGATAGATGGTGTGTGAGAATTTCCTCGATAAGTGAGACTAGTAAATGTGTATGATAGATTCCTTGTTCATGAATACGCCATTATTCTCTGGTCACTAATGATAATTATTTGCCATTACAAAGAATCTCGTCAAGTTTCAACAATGGACCTTGTCCTGAAAACAATGGAACAACATGTCTAACAAGTATAGATGATACCAATGATAATGATGGTGAGTATGAAAAACATATATATATATATATTTATATAAACAAAAGCACAGAACATAAGCTTTGACTTATATTACCTATAAATGGGTCACACACTTGTAGCTGCATTTATCCCTGAAACTGAATCAAAATTTTTGAATGATCCTATTGGTTCTGTAAATCCAACCAATCAAATCCTTGGAAACATTGGCCAATAAATCCCTTTGGTGTACAAAAGGTGGTTCATTTCTTTTCAAATAGCCAATGAAACTCTTCAATTCTTCTGAGAAGACAATGGCTGACCTAAGTTGGTTTGGCCAATCAAATCCTGGGAAAGAAGAGGTTGACAATGATTTGACCAATCAAATTTGCAGAGACCAAACCCTATGTCAGGGTGTCTCCTGTTTAAGTTTTTTAATGGTGTTTTTTAATGCTTGTCTTTTGTTGCAGAACCACACGCGAATCACTTCTCGATCATAGTTCAACTTTTCTGATAGCTCTGTCATTTCCGCACCTAAAACAAAAATGAAAAATTCCAAAATGTAAGAAATTTTCTGTTGTCAACAAATAGATACTCCTTCCAAAAAGAACATCAATAAGTCTTGAGCCAATCAGATTAAAATAAAACTATTAAGGTGAAGTTGATAAAGCACTTTGTAGGATACATACAAAGAAAATTAATTGGTAACCAATATATCCTTTTAGACAATGATTTATTCTCATAGTGTAGTTTTGAGTTTGGTCGAGTATTAACCCTGAGCCAAAAATTAGTATTATAGAGTTTTCCTGATTCCAACATAAGATATTTTTATGCTCTGTCATGTACACAAACAAGACACCTCATCCAAATTGTCACCACATACAGTTTGTGATACTTCAATGTGACACCCATTTAAATTATTTTAATATGTTAATGTATTTCTACTGTGCTCGTCTTGCCATATTTACGACGGGAGTATCCCATGTTGTGTTGTGTTTTGCATTGTACGTGTGGTGCACTCGTCGTGTTACTTCTATATGGGGGGTGTATCCCATGATGTGCTTTGTATTGTGAAAGTCCTATTATGTATACTGTATGTGTAGTTCGTGAATGTCCGGAGAGTGAGTTTGTGTGACGTATGTAGGTAAACAGGTTTGACAGGTGACGGATACAGTACTGGACATGCGTGCTGGTCTTTTTCTTTTATTTTCTTTCTTTCTTTCTCATTACCGCCAAAAGCCCCATAAAGATTTTGACTGCCGGTAGAGGAACATATACATTCCCTCTCTAAATCAACTATATTTTTCAATTCATTGCCGATGAAATGTCCTGGGCACCACATGCCAAGTGAGTAATCTTTATATACATATGCTATGTTGTGATAATTTGATTTGTGGATTTTAAATAATATTTGGTGTGAAATGTATCTTTTAATAACGCGTACCGGTCCGAATGTTCTGTTCATAATTGTTCATATAGTTGCTTTTACCTTTAGTTACTCTACAATGTTATTTGTTTTGTTGTAGGGATTAAGTATGAGATGAGTAAATAAAAAAAAATAAATGAAGACACTAGACCACCATCTCATCCGTCGCATTTATTTGTACCAGGGACCCCAAAAGAAAACCGACTCTGTTACATCAATACATACATATTTATTTACATTGAAAAAAGGAGCAAACTTTTCCTTGAGTAAGTAAGAAATGCTGAACACATTAAAATAAATCTGTACAATATGCATTACCTGAAGGATGTGTATTCCTCTCAAAAAACTGGTTGAGAACTTCAAGAGCCTGGGGAGTGAAGGAAGTTCTTCGCTTCCGTTTCTTTGATGGTTCGCTGCCTATAAAGTCAGTAAGATTTGACACTCCATTCTTATACCGTTCTTCTGCCTCAAGCATCCACCGTTCCAGAACTGGTTTGATCTTCTGGGCACTCTTTGGTGTTATGTCTAATTTCTCAAATCTGAATGAAATGAAAAAATAATCTGAAACTTTAGATAACTCAGAAATTATCTAAAATAAATCTTTGTGCCATAGTCTAAAATTTGTATAAACATCATCTGGAATTTTACTAAAGGAATTACAGATTAAAAGCGAGAGATTCTTGATACAGGGTTGAGATCAATCTCTACAAAGATGTACTTACCTACAGATAGCTGACTGGCTGTATGCAGGCCCCTCTGTTGCACTTAGTGCCTGACCTACTTGTGTTTGAGTCAGCCCTAAAGACAGTCTCCGGATTTTAAACTGTTTGGCAAATTCTTTGATCTCATCGAGGTTTATCCCATCTACAGTGGTGCTCTCTGTAGAATTTCCTACTGTGTCTGAAAGGTTAACTTGAAGATAAGATTCAGATAGATAAAAATGTTGTACTGTTAACCTAAAGTCAAAAAATCAAACCACACATTACATTATACATCAAAGGGACATCACAGTAAAAACATTATTCTTTTTATTTGATTGTGCATATCATTTACACTTTCAGTTCTGTTTCTTTTCTCTTCTTTTTTCTATTTTTGCTCTTAATGATAAAAAATTTGAAAATTCCTTTTCAATTGTCAAATCCTATATGATCCCCTGCAAGTCATTTCGTTTTTTCAATCACTTCCAAAATAAAATGGGCGCGACTAGGGACGTTAGGGGAACCAATAAATGAAACTTTAAAGAGATCCATTGAGTGCTTCTTAAGAAATAGTGATAAAATACTTTCACTATTGAAATCCTAGATGATCTCTAGTCTGCCATTTTGTTTTTCTGATCAGTCCCACCTGATGATGAAGGGCTTAAAATACAACAACCTATTAAGTAAGCAAGATTGATTAAATGTGCTAAAGAAATATTCATACATAAGAAAAAATAAGTAAAAAAAACGTGTTTATGAAACACTATGCACCAGCTTGCAATACAATTCTGAAGTGGGACATTAAAATAGCAGCAGACTTTGTGAAACACTGATGTCTTTGTTGTGGTGATGATTTTTCAAAATTTCAAATGTAGGCTACAGGTTACAGTCAAGGTCACATGATCAACAACAGGTCTTATCACAAGGAACACACATGCCAAATATGAAAGCCCTACCTGTTATAGTGCAATTGTTATGGGCAATGTTGAAGTTAGCAACAGACAAACAGACGGCACAAAAACAATATGCCCTCGAGCTTTTAATCCGAGGGGAAATTGTTGTTGAAATAATCATTGAATCAAAATTTCGTTCATGAAATAATAATCTCATGTTATGATTTTAAAGCCTATCAAGGTTGGGAAAAAAAGCTAAAAACTGACGGACAAGCTAGAACAAAACCAAATGGAAATTACTTCAAACATTGCTCAACTGAATAGCTGTTCAGGTCTCATATCAATGGCACAAAATAAGAACAGTTACTGTTTCAAATAGTCAAACCAAACTAAACAATATATATATCTTAACTGGTTCTTTTCATAAATACATAACTTCAAGACATAATGATTTGACCAACCCAACCTGAAAGAGATTGCAACAGAGACTTCAAAACATATAACAAATTCATGATCACCTATTTGATCTCATTGTCATAGGCACACAAAGGACTGGGTGATCTCCAAGAATGATCTCATTGTCATAGGTACACCAAGGACTGGGTGATCCCCAAGAATGACCTCATTGTCATAGAAACACAAAGGACTGGGTGATCTCCAAGAATGATCTCATTGTCATAGGAACACAAAGGACTGGGTGATCTCCAAGAATGATCTCTTTGTTATAGAAACACAAAGGACTGGGTGATCTCCAAGAATGAACTCATTGTTATAGAAACACAATGGACTTGGTGATCACGCATTAACTGTTGTCATAGAAACACAAAGGGCTGGGTGATCCCCAAGAATGATCTAGTTGTTATAGAAACACAAAGGACTGGGTGATCTCCAAGAATGATCTCATTGTCATAGAAACACAATGGACTTGGTGATCACGCATGAACTGTTGTCATAGAAACACAAAGGACTGGGTGATCTCCAAGAATGATCTAGTCGTTATAGAAACACAATGGACTTGGTGATCACACATGAACTGTTGTCATAGAAACACAAAGGACTGGGTGATCTCCAAGAATGATCTAGTTGTTATAGAAACACAAAGGACTGGGTGATCTCCAAGAATGATCTCATTGTCATAGAAACACAAAGGACTGGGTGATCCCCAAGAATAATCTCTTTGTCATAGAAACACAAAGGACTGGGTGATCTCCAAGAATGATCTCATTGTTATAGAAACACAAAGGACTGGGTGATCTCCAAGAATGATCTCATTGTTATAGAAACACAAAGGACTGGGTGATCTCGAAGAATGATCTCATTGTCATAGAAATACAAAATTTGTAATTTACATTCATTCACTGTCAGGATATTTCTAAATATTTTTCAACAATGTTTACAACTGTGTCACTATAAGTGAGGTTACTCTACCGTGACAGGTCATTCACATACCTGTTATGCACGGGCTGCGCCTCAGATAACTGTGAACTTGTCAGGCCAGTTTGGGCCAGCTTAGGCACCAGGCAGGTCTCACGTAAGTTGGGGAACTTGTGCTAAGCATGCACTCACAAGGTATTCTGTGGGAAACCCTAAGTGGGATTAGGCAGTACCAGACAGAACTCCAAAACTGGAGATTGTGTTGTCCAGGGCTCGTCACCATGAATATTTGGAGTACTGTTGGGAGGGTTGCTAGCCTGATTCCAGGAATTAATGTTGGGAGCCTAGAACTGGTACCTGTCAGTATGACATTTTATTAGCTGGGTGCTAATGATGGCTGTGTGCCTGTAAATATGTTATTTTCCAAGTTATGTGCTTCAAAGCTGTGTGGGCTGTGTGCTATGTTGTCTGTCTAGGACTGTGTGTCCATGAGACGATCAGGACTTTGTGTCCATGAAACTGTAGCGGTTTTGTCTAAGACTGTGTGTCCGGAGAATATAGTTGTGGGTCCGTGTGTCGGAGAGGCTGTGTGCCATGTTCCTGAGAACCAGGACTGTGTGTCCGAGAGGCCGTGTGTCATATTACGGAGAACCAGGACTGTGTGTCCGAGAGGCTGTGTGCCATATTTCTGAGAACCAGCACTGTGTCAGAGAGGCTGTGTGCCACATTTCTGAGAACCAGGACTGTGTGTCGTAGAGGCTGTGTGCCACATTTCTGAGAACCAGCACTGTGTGTCCGAGAGGCTGTGTGCCACATTTCTGAGAACCAGCACTGTGTGTCCGAGAGGCTGTGTGCCCGAAAGGCTGTGTTCCATGTTTCTGAGAACCAGCACTGTGTCAGAGAGGCTGTGTGCCATGTTTCTGAGAACCAGGACTGTGTGTCCGAGAGGCTGTTAGCCATGTTTCTGAGAACAAGGACTGTGTGTCCGAGAGGCTGTTAGCCATGTTTCTGAGAACCAGGACTGTGTGTCCGAGAGGCAGTGTGGCATTTTTCTGAGAACCAAGACTCTGTATCCAGGGTGTTCAGGATGAAGCTACCTAGGAGTTGATGTACCTCTATATGTGACCTTAAATATACTGAGGCCTTCGTAAGGAGTTAGTGACCAGAATCAGGACCTTGATGAAATTGTTATAACCAAAGGAACCTGATAATAACACTACCTTGACTGATGTGGTTCACGGAGGGGTCACCGTGTAACGTTGTGGCGCTAAGTTTATGAACGTACAACAAGAGACTGTAATATTCATTTAGAGATAATTTCTCAGGTTTTAGTATATAGTATAATTACTAAAGGGTGCTTCCGTATCGTTAGTGTAAGAGGAAAGTATGAGTGTGGTAAGGTGAAGTGGTGTGGTGTGTTCTTCGTAGCTTTTTGTTTGTTTATTTTGCTTGCATAGTAAATAAATGTATATACGTTTCGTTTTGGTTTGCTGGTTGCTAATTTCCCACACCCAGTGACACTCACTTGGAAGCAGTTGACTGACGTTGGGTGGGAGAACATCGGAGGTGACTGTTGGAGTGAGGACTTGTGTGGGCAATCTGGGGGGCGAGGACACGACTGGTGCTACCACAGGTTGGCTGTTGGTATGGGCATGACGGATGGCTGTGTGATGAGCAGACACTGTACTGTGATTGGCCGTTAGCTGACCATTAGTTTGAGAGACTTGGGTCAGTGAATTGTTGGCAGAAGAAGCGAGTGTAGGCTGTGTCAAGGAGAGTGGGTTGATTACCTGTGAAACAAATAAATGTATCTTGTCAATATTCTATAATAAATATCAATATACTTGATATCCATTCATGGAGAGTTTTACTTATACTGTATATAAATATGTCTATTCAGAATCTGTCCTACAAATGTACTGTTCTATAAACATCTCCTCAGAATCTGTGCTACAAATGTACTATTATATAAACATCTCCTCAGAATCTGTGCTACAAATGTACTATTATATAAACATCTCCTCAGAATCTGTCCTACAAATGTACTGTTATATAAACATCTCCTCAGAATCTGTCCTACAAATGTACTGTTTTATAAACATCTCAGAATATGTCCTACAAATGTACTGTTATATAAACATCTCCTCAGAATCTGTCCTACAGATCTACTGTTATATAAACATCTCCTCAGGATCTGTCCTACAAATGTACTGTTCTATAAACATCTCCTCAGAATCTGTCCTACAAATGTACTGTTCTATAAACATCTCCTCAGAATATGTCCTACAAATGTACTATTATATAAACATCTCCTCAGAATCTGTCCTACAAATGTACTGTTCTATAAACATCTCCTCAGAATCTGTCCTACAAATGTACTGTTATATAAACATCTCCTCAGAATATGTCCTACAAATGTACTGTTCTATAAACATTTCAGAATCTGTCCTACAAATGTACTGTTCTATAAACATCTCAGAATCTGTCCTACAAATGTACTGTTATATAAACATCTCCTCAGAATATGTCCTACAAATGTACTGTTCTATAAACATCTCAGAATCTGTCCTACAAATGTACTGTTCTATAAACATCTCAGAATCTGTCCTACAAATGTACTGTTATATAAACATCTCCTCAGAATCTGTCCTACAAATGTACTTTTATATAAACATCTCCTCAGAATATGTCCTACAAATGTACTGTTCTATAAAATCTCAGAAGCTGTCCAACAAATGTACTGTTCTATAAACATCTCAGAATCTGTCCTACAAATGTACTGTTCTATAAACATCTCCTCAGAATCTGTCCTACAAATGTACTGTTATATAAACATCTCCTCAGAATCTGTCCTACAAATGTACTGTTCTATAAACATCTCAGAATCTGTCCTACAAATGTACTGTTCTATAAACATCTCAGAATCTGTCCTACAAATGTACTGTTATATAAACATCTCCTCAGAATCTGTCCTACAAATGTACTGTTTTATAAACATCTCAGAATCTGTCCTACAAATGTACTGTTCTATAAACATCTCCTCAGAATCTGTCCTACAAATGTACTGTTATATAAACATCTCCTCAGAATCTGTCCTACAAATGTACTATTATATAAACATCTCCTAGGAATATGTCCTACAAATGTACTGTTCTATAAACATCTCAGAATCTGTCCTACAAATGTACTGTTATATAAACATCTCCTCAGAATCTGTCCTACAAATGTACTATTATATAAACATCTCCTCAGAATCTGTCCTACAAATGTACTGTTATATAAACATCTCCTCAGAATATGTCCTACAAATGTACTGTTCTATAAACATCTCAGAATCTGTCCTACAAATGTACTGTTCTATAAACATCTACTCAGAATCTGTCCTACAAATGTACTGTTCTATAAACATCTCCTCAGAATCTGTCCTACAAATGTACTATTATATATATACATCTCCTCAGAATTTGTCCTACAAATGTACTGTTATATAAACATCTCCTCAGAATCTGTCCTACAAATGTACTGTTATATAAACATCTCCTCAGAATCTGTCCTACAAATGTACTGTTCTATAAACATCTCCTCAGAATCTGTCCTACAAATGTACTGTTATATAAACATCTCCTCAGAATCTGTCCTACAAATGTACTGTTTTATAAACATCTCATCAGAATCTGTCCTACAAATGTACTATTCTATAAACATCTCAGAATCTGTCCTACAAATGTACTGTTCTATAAACATCTCCTAAGTATCTGTCCTACAAATGTACTGTTATATAAACATCTCCTCAGAATCTGTCCTACAAATGTACTGTTTTATAAACATCTCAGAATCTGTCCTACAAATGTACTGTTTTATAAACATCTTAGAATCTTTCCTATAAATGTACTGTTATATAAACATCTCCTCAGAATCTGTCCTACAAATGTACTGTTTTATAAACATCTTAGAATCTTTCCTATAAATGTAATGATAATTTTCCCCAATTCCAACATTATATTTCTTCATTACCCTCCAGCAAGTTGGTCAAGAGAGAAAGAAGTGAATACCTGAGGACCCACAGCTAGGATTTGTCCCTGTGCTCCAGTTGTCAGCAGTTGAGGTAGAGAACCAAGCTGATTGGCTAGTCCCAGACTGTTGGCCTGTTGGTGACTCGAGTTATTGGTGGAATTCTGGGCTTGATGTGCACCTAAACATAAAATATACACACTAAAACATATTCTCATGTTAAAGGAGGTCAAGTGTTACTGTAAATCACTTAAATTTCACAGGGGATTTATTTTCATAAAATCCTCCTGATTATTTGTACAGATATAATTCTTGGAAGATATCCATGCTGATTCAGTTACCAATATTGATCCATAAAAATGTTATCACAAATATGTCTGAAGTGGTAAGTATGCTAAACAAAGTGATAACTAAATCCAAGTGATTTGCAGTAGCTTTGATACCTGTCCACTTTTATATCAGTGACTGATGATGACCACTTTGATACCAGTGACCGATGATGACCACTTTGATACCAGTGACCGATGATGACCACTTTGATACCAGTGACCGATGATGACCACTTTGATACTAGTGGCCAATGATGACCACTTTGATGCCAACCACCTATGATGACCATAGAAAACCCTTTATTATGTTTAAGGTCAATACTGTTAAGATAAAAACATCAGTTGATGAGTACATGATATAGTGCTTTGTTGCATGCTCGGGTGGATAACTTGACATACCAGTGTTGTTGATATTGAGGTTGAGAGGTTGGGTGAGACCAGGTATGTTTGCAAGGTTCGTGGCGATGATTTGGCCATTTGAGGTGGTAAGCAGCTGTATCTGTTGGTTACCACCAGCTGCCAGGGACACAGGGATACTAATAAACTGCTGAGCTCCATTACCTATAAAAACAGTAACACATAATCAGTTTAGAAATTAAATGGAATGTTATATATAAGGTAAACATACAAAGAGTATCATAAAATTATCATTTCAAATAAACATATTGACAGTGTGCTTTTACTTAAGAATCATCACATTAGTTGGAGCGTAGCACCCAGGAATTCATCTGGATCTCTTCAGAGTCATCCTACCCAGCTGTGCAGTGAAGCATCACTATCTGTCATTAACCCTTTCGGCACCGTAGGCGACTAAAGTTGACTGAAATCTACATGCAGACAGGCCGCCGAAGGCGACTAAAGTCGACATCTGCCAGGCCGCTGTAGGCAACTTTGGTAGACAATTTTTATATCTTTATTATATATATTTTTATTATATTTGGCGCTGAGCTGTACATTGTGAGAAATATTTGGCGCTGAGCTGTGCATAGTGAAAAATATTTGGCGCTGAGCTGTACATTTTGAGAGATATTTGGTGCCGAAAGGGTTCAGATGTCATCCTACCCAGCTGTTCAGTGAAGCTTCAGGTAGGATGTTATAATACCTGGAGATATTGTGTGAACATCCATGTCTAAAATTGCATTGTGAACATTTCAGTCTGGAAATAATTTGTTAACATTCCATTCTGAAAATGATGAGCTAAACTGCCTGTCTAGAAATGCAGTGTGAATATTTCAGCTGGGAAATGATTAATTCAGCCTGGAAATAATGTGTTAACATCCAAGCAAGAAAATACTGTGCAAACATTCCTGCCTTGATAAGCTGTGTGGACAATCGAGTCTGGAAATGTCAAAACGTTTGTGGCCAACCATGGAAAGTTTGTGGGAATTTAAAATAGAGGCAAAATTTATGCTAACTAATCCATTTTGGACTCCATCCCTCAGATGTTAATTCAGCTTCCTGAATCTATGAAATAATTCACATCCCATAGTGATGATTCAGACCATATTTGAAAGAGCAGAGTTTTAAAAGAAAATTTTCCTTTCAAATTCCTCATTCAGAATGCTAATCCCCAGTCCCTTGAGATATAATAAACTTTCTGAATTTAAGAAATGATAGCCCATCCCTAATGATGTGTCTGACCAATTTTGTTGTTACATGTCTAGGCGTGAAGAAAAAGTAGGGTCTTTAAAGAAAATTTCAGCAAATTCTCCATATGGAGCCCCGCCCTCAATCAGTTGAACCAACTTCCTAAATTTCACAAATAAATGCTCACCCCTACTGATGTTTCAGACCGTATTTGGTTGAAATAAGCTGAGACATACTGAAAAAGTTGGTTTTTAAAGCCAAATTTTAGCTAAAATCCCCATTTACAGAAGGCATTAGCTAAAATCCCCATTTAGGGTGCTTCCCCCCCACCCCACTCCCTGAGGGTCAAATCAAATTTCTGAATTCAAGAAATAATTGCCTACCCCTGCTCTTTCTGAACAAATCTGATTGAAACCCACCCAGACATAATGGACTGAAAAAGAACCAGTTTTGACAATATGTAGAAAAGGAGTTGAGGAAAAATATGTATCTGTAGAACAGCTTGATATTAATTTCATATATCTAATAAAATGAAAAATGATATGTTAAGCTGACAAAACATCAAGTGTTTTTAAAAATACAGATACTGAACAAATAAAAAGTTGTATGACACAATTAGATAAGTACAGACAGTCTGTGGTATTGGTGACTAGATGACAGGGTGTCTGTGATAGTGGTGACTACAGTACAGGGTGTCTGTGGTAGTGATGACTACTGTACAGGGTGTCTGTGGTATTGGTGACTAGATTACAGGGAGTCTGTGGTAGTGGTGACTACAGTGCAAGGTGTCTGTGGTAGTGGTGACTACAGAACAGAGAGTCTGTGGTAGTGGTGACAACGGAACAGGCTGTGTGTGGTAGTATTGACTACAGAACAGAGAATCTGTGGTAGTGGTGGCTAGAATACAGGTCTGTGGTAGTGGTGACTACAGAACAGGGTGTGTGTGGCAGTGGTGACTACAGAACAGAGAGTCTGTGGTATTGGTGACTAGATTACAGGGAGTCTGTGGTAGTGGTGACTACAGTGCAAGGTGTCTGTGGTAGTGGTGACTACAGATCAGAGAGTCTGTGGTAGTGGTGACTACAGAACAGGGTGTGTGTAGTAGTGGTGACTACAGTACAAGGAGGCTGGTAGATGTGACTACAGTACAGGCAGTCTGTGGTAATGGTGACTACAGTACAGGGAGTCTATGGTGGTGGTGACTACAGTACAGGGTGTCTGTGGTAGTGGTGACTACAGTACACGGTTTCTGTATTAGTGGTGACTACAGTACAGGGAATCTGTGGAAGTGGTGACTAGAACAAAGGGAGTTTGTGGTAGTGGTGACTACAGAACAGAGAGTCTGTGGTATTGGTGACTAGATTACAGGGAGTCTGTGGTAGTGGTGACTACAGTATAGAGAGTCTGTGGTGGTGTTGACTACAGTGCAGGGTGTCTGTGGTAGTGGTGACTACAGAACAGAGAGTCTGTGGAAGTGATGACAACAGTACTGGGTTTCTGTGGAAGTGGTGACTAGAATAAAGTTAGTCTGTGGTAGTGGTGACTACTGTACAGGGAGTCTGTGGTAGTGGTGACAACGGAACAGGCTGTGTGTGGTAGTATTGACTACAGAACAGAGAATCTGTGGTAGTGGTGGCTAGAATACAGGAGGTCTGTGGTAGTGGTGACTACAGAACAGGGTGTGTGTGGCAGTGGTGACTACAGAACAGAGAGTCTGTGGTATTGGTGACTAGATTACAGGGAGTCTGTGGTAGTGGTGACTACTGTACAGGGTGTCTGTGGTAGTGGTGACTACAGTATAGAGAGTCTGTGGTAGTGGTGACTACAGTACAGGGAGTCTGTGGTAGTGGTGACTACAGTACACGGTTTCTGTATTAGTGGTGACTACAGTACAGGGAATCTGTGGAAGTGGTGACTAGAACAAAGGGAGTTTGTGGTAGTGGTGACTACAGTACAGAGCGTCTTTGGTAGTTGTGACTACAGTACAGGGAGTCTGTGGTAGTGGTGACTACCGTACATGGGTGTTTGTGGTAGTGGTGACTAGAATACAGGGAGTCTGTGGTGGTGTTGACTACAGTGCAGGGTGTCTGTGGTAGTGGTGACTACAGAACAGAGAGTCTGTGGAAGTGATGACAACAGTACTGGGTTTCTGTGGAAGTGGTGACTAGAATAAAGTAAGTCTGTAGTAGTGGTGACTACTGTACAGGGAGTCTGTGGTAGTGGTGACAACGGAACAGGCTGTGTGTGGTAGTATTGACTACAGAACAGAGAATCTGTGGTAGTGGTGGCTAGAATACAGGAAGTCTGTGGTAGTGGTGACTACAGAACAGGGTGTGTGTGGCAGTGGTGACTACAGAACAGAGAGTCTGTGGTATTGGTGACTAGATTACAGGGAGTCTGTGGTAGTGGTGACTACAGATCAGAGAGTCTGTGGTAGTAGTGACTACAGAACAGGGTGTGTGGTAGTGGTGACTACAGAACAGAGAGTCTGTGGTAGTGGTGACTACAGAACAGGGTGTGTGTAGTAGTGGTGACTACAGTACAAGGAGGCTGATAGATGTGACTACAGTACAGGCAGTCTGTGGTAATGGTGACTACAGTACAGGGAGTCTATGGTGGTGGTGACTACAGTACAGGGTGTCTGTGGTAGTGGTGACTAGAATACAGGGAGTCTGTTGTAGTGGTGACTAGAATACAGGGAGTCTGTGGTAGCGGTGACTGGCATAGAGGGAGTCTGTGGTAGTGGTGACTAGAGTACAGAGAGTCTGTGGAAGTGGTGACTAATGTACAGGGTGTCTGTGGTAGTAGTGACTAATGTACAGGGTGTCTGTGGTAGTGGTGACTACTGTACAGGTCATCTGTAGTAACGGCGATTAAAGTACAGGGAGTCTGTGGTAGTGGTGACTACTGTACAGGGTGTCTGTGGTAGTGGTGACTACAGTATAGGGAGTCTGTGGTAGTGGTGACTACAGTACAGGGTGTCTGTGGTAGTGGTGACTAATGTACAGGGTGTCTGTGGTAGTGGTGACTACTGTACAGGGCATCTGTAGTAACGGCGACTAAAGTACAGGGAGTCTGTGGTAGTGGTGACTACTGTACAGGGTGTCTGTGGTAGTGGTGACTACAGTATAGGGAGTCTGTGGTAGTGGTGACTAATAATAATAATAATATACATTTATATAGCGCACTATCTATTTTGACAAAATACTCTAATGCGCTTCACAATTACATAATAATCTTACTACAAAATTTACAGAACATGTATAACACAGTAATCAACATATGTAACACAGTAACCAAATCAAGTAAGTAGTGGTGAAAGTATGTATATACAGGACGTCTGCGTGAGAGTCTAAAATGCAGACGTAAACAGGTGGGTTTTAATATCCCTCTTGAATTTGGCCAGGGATTTTGACTTTCTAGTAGCAGATGGTAAGCTGTTCCACAAAGTGGCCGCTACCTTTCCAAAGCATCGGTTACCATAAGTCACAGTCCGAGAGTTCGGAACACACAACAAGGATTCTGTCTCCGATCGTAGTGATCGTGACGGCCGATAAATGGTGCTGTTCCATTTATTGCCTTGTATGTATACATCAAAATCTTGTACTGTAACCGGAATCGCACGGGCAGCCAATGCAATAAGTAAAGGACTGGCGTAATGTGGTCCCTCTTTCGAGTACTGGTAACTAGGCGTGCTGCGGTGTTCTGTACCCTCTGCAGGCGGCTCATTAGTGTATCAGATACACCAACGAGTAACGCGTTACCATAGTCTAACCAAGAAGTAACAAGAGAATGTACCAATGTCTTGCATGCATCTGTGGTGATGAACTGACGGATACCCCCAATGTTTCTGATTTGGTGATAACAGGAACTGGCAATTGAGTTTATCTGTTTCTCCATGTTCAGAGAGCTATCAAAGTGTACACCAAGGTTTCTCACAGCTTGGACGGCCTCAATGGTTTGGGCATCGACCTTTAACTGGAGACCTTTAGTGTGTTGATACTTGTGGGAAAAGACGATCAGTTCTGTCTTTTCCTGATTGAGCTTGAGCATATTTGAATTCATCCAAGCACTGATGTCATTTAGACAGGCTTCAAGACTTGCTACTATTATGTCCCAGTTGTCTTGAGGTCTGATAACCATGTAGATTTGTGTGTCGTCGGCATAACAATGGTACTGAAGGTTATGACGACGACAAATTTCCCCGACTGGTTTCGAATAAAGACAGTATTTTCTAGGTCCCAGAACGGACCCCTGAGGAACTCCGAAGTCTAAGGTTTTGCTGTCTGAAACAGTTGATCCAATGGCAAAGCACTGTCGTTGTTCATTCAAGACTGGGTCCAGCGTAATGCATCACCAGTTACCCCATAAGAGTACTCCAGACGCTTGAACAGTGTGCCATGGTCAATGACATCAAATGTAGCAGACAGATCAAGCATGATAAGAACCGCTCTACACTTGTTATCCAGAGCGGCAGCAATATCACTGTAGACACGGAGTAGGGCCGTCTCAGTGGAATGTCCTGTGCGATAGGCTGATTGCAAGTTGTCATGAAGACTGTTAGCATTGAGATGAGCCTCAAGTCGCTGGGACACAATCTTCTCCAAGATCTTAGATAGGAAAGGAAGATTTGACACCGGACGGTAGTTCTTTAATTCTTCTTTGTTCAGTCCAGGCTTCTTCAGCAGTGGTCTTACATTAGCCTTCTTGAAACACAATGGAACCCTAGACTCTGCTAATGATTTATTCATGATTAAGGTGATCAAGGGGAGCAGTGCATCAAGACATTGCTTCAGTAAAACTGTGGGAAGCGGGTCCAGCTCACAGGATTTCGATTGAGAGTTTGTAATGATCTTGCGCAATTCTTCTTCAGTTGTTGGAGTGAACTGCGTCAAAGGTTCACCAGAGAATTGGATATCGGCATCCATGGCAGAGATGCCAGTGTCGGAAGTTGAGTTCACAACATCAATCTTTTGCCTGATTGTATTGATTTTATCCTGGAAAAAATCACTGAACTTGTTGGACAAGATTTTTTCAGAAGAACAGCTTGGTAGGGCGATTTCACCAGTATGTCCCATAAGGTTTCTGGTGAGTCTAAAAAGCTGTCTTGTATCCGATCCACATTCTGTGATTTTTCCTGAATAATAATCCTTCTTACGTTGAATGAGTAGTGAACTGACTGCCCGACAATGTTCTCTGTATATCTGGCGATGGATGGTTAGTTTGGTCTTTCGCCAACGTTTCTCCGCCTTCCTCCGCAATTGTTTTGCATCACGAAGTTGTTCATTGTACCAAGGCGCGTTAGGTCTGACAGTAATTACCTTTGTCTGAAGAGGTGCATGTTTCTCGATCAGAGCCTCGATACCAGAGTTATATGCTTCAACAAGACAGTCAACTCCACCGTCAGTAGTCTGAAGGACTGAAGATGACTGAACGTCTTTGATGAAATCAGGTACAGAAATTTCGCAGAATTTCCGGAAGCTGACCTCTTTTCTGGCACGTTTTGGTTTACCACAATTTAGTGTGGCATAGACAGCAAGATGATCACCAGATAGGTTTCCCTTAGAAGTATTTCCCCTTGTGATAATCACATCTAGTGTATGACCATGTGAATGGGTAGCTTCTGTCACATGTTGTGTCATCCCCCGGGAGTCAAGGATTCCGGCAAACTGTCGGGAATCAACATTAGTGTTATCATCCAAGTGGAAATTCAGGTCGCCAGCGATAATCAGCTCCTGTGGCGCTACAACCTGTTGATCGAGATATGAAGACCATTCATCAAAGAAGACTTTGTTACGGAGACCGTTCCGTTTAGAAGGGGGAGGCCTGTATATGACGCACAGTCTGAATTTTGTATCACAAGTGGTGACGGAACACGTCATGTGCTCAAAGTGTGTAAAGGAATCCTCGTTGTTGGAATTGAGATTTCTCACACTCAATCCTTTCTTAAACAGAACAGCCACTCCGCCACCACGTCTGCCTTGTCTAGCATTGTGGAGAATGTCATAGCCTGTTGGTATAAGCTCAGCGAGAATTTGGTCATCAACGGTTGAGCCCAGCCAAGTCTCCGTTATCGCTAGAATATCGATATCCCGAGATGTAATGAAGTCACTGATAGACAATGACTACAGTACAGGGAATCTGTGGAAGTGGTGACTAGAACAAAGGGAGTTTGTGGTAGTGGTGACTACAGTACAGAGCGTCTTTGGTAGTTGTGACTACAGTAAAGGGAGTCTGTGGTAGTGGTGACTACCGTACAGGGTGTCTGTGGTAGTGGTGACTAGAATACAGGGAGTCTGTGGTGGTGTTGACTACAGTGCAGGGTGTCTGTGGTAGTGGTGACTACAGAACAGAGAGTCTGTGGAAGTGATGACAACAGTACTGGGTTTCTGTGGAAGTGGTGACTAGAATAAAGTAAGTCTGTGGTAGTGGTGACTACTGTACAGGGAGTCTGTGGTAGTGGTGACAACGGAACAGGCTGTGTGTGGTAGTATTGACTACAGAACAGAGAATCTGTGGTAGTGGTGGCTAGAATACAGGAAGTCTATGGTAGTGGTGACTACAGAACAGGGTGTGTGTGGCAGTGGTGACTACAGAACAGAGAGTCTGTGGTATTGGTGACTAGATTACAGGGAGTCTGTGGTAGTGGTGACTACAGTGCAAGGTGTCTGTGGTAGTGGCGACTACAGATCAGAGAGTCTGTGGTAGTAGTGACTACAGAACAGGGTGTGTGTAGTAGTAATGACTACAGTACAAGGAGGCTGGTAGATGTGACTACAGTACAGGGAGTCTGTGGTAATGGTGACTACAGTACAGGGAGTCTGTGGTGGTGGTGACTACAGTACAGGGTGTCTGTGGTAGTGGTGACTAGAATACAGGGAGTCTGTTGTAGTGGTGACTAGAATACAGGGAGTCTGTTGTAGCGGTGACTGGCATAGAGGGAGTCTGTGGTAGTAACAGGTTTCTGTGGAAGTGGTGACTACAGTGCAGGGTGTCTGTGGTAGTGGTGACTACAGAACAGAGAGTCTGTGGTAGTGGTGACAACGGAACAGGCTGTGTGTGGTAGTATTGACTACAGAACAGAGAATCTGTGGTAGTGGTGGCTAGAATACAGGAAGTCTGTGGTAGTGGTGACTACAGAACAGGGTGTGTGTGGCAGTGGTGACTACAGAACAGAGAGTCTGTGGTATTGGTGACTAGATTACAGGGAGTCTGTGGTAGTGGTGACTACAGTGCAAGGTGTCTGTGGTAGTGGTGACTACAGATCAGAGAGTCTGTGGTAGTGGTGACTACAGAACAGGGTGTCTGTGGTAGTGGTGACTACAGAACAGAGAGTCTGTGGTAGTGGTGACTACAGAACAAGGTGTCTGTGGTAGTGGTGACTAGAATACAGGGAGTCTGTTGTAGTGGTGACTAGAATACAGGGAGTCTGTGGTAGCGGTGACTGGCATAGAGGGAGTCTGTGGTAGTGGTGACTAGAGTACAGAGAGTCTGTGGTAGTGGTGACTAATGTACAGGGTGTCTGTGGTAGTGGTGACTACAGAACAGGGTGTGTGTGGCAGTGGTGACTAGAATACAGGGAGTCTGTTGTAGTGGTGACTAGAATACAGGGAGTCTGTGGTAGTGGTGACTGGCATAGAGGGAGTCTGTGGTAGTGGTGACTAGAGTACAGAGAGTCTGTGGTAGTGGTGACTAATGTACAGGGTGTCTGTGGTAGTGGTGACTACAGAACAGGGTGTGTGTGGTATTGGTGACTAGATTACAGGGAGTCTGTGGTAGTGGTGATTACAGTACAGGAAGTCTGTAGTGGTGGTGACCACAGTACATGGTGTCTGTATTAGTGGTAACTACAGTACAGGGAATCTGTGGAAGTGGTGACTAAAATAAAGGGAGTCTGTGGTAGTGGTGACTAGAATACAGGGAGTCTGTGGTAGTGGTGACTACTGTACAGGGTGTCTGTGGTAGTGGTGATTAGAGTACAGGTAGTCTGTGGTAGTGTTGACTACAGTACAGGGTGTCTGTGGTAGTGGTGACTAGAGTACAGGGTGTCTATGGTAGTGGTGACTACTGTACAGAGTGTCTGTGGAAGTGATGAATACAGTACCAGGTTTCTGTCGAAGTGGTGACTAGAATAAAGTTAAGTCTGTGGTAGTGGTGACTACTGTACAGGGTGTCTGTGGTAGTGGTGACTACTGTACAGGGTGTCTGTGGTAGTGGTGACCAGAGTACAGGGAGTCTGTGGTAGTGTTGACTACGGTTCAGGGAGGCTGGTAGTTGTGACTACCTGTGGAGACAGGGATGAGAAGCTGCTGTATTGAGGATGCTGGACTGTGGCACTGGCCTGCTGCTGATGCTGCTGCGGCCTGCACTGACTGACCTGTGAGGAAGAACTGCGGTGCTGCCACCTGTGGCTGACCAAACAACTGAGTAGGACTGGACAACGATGTGATTCCACCTGTCAATCAAAACACCATAAAGTAATATTCTTGAAAAGAAATCCTACTAGGGTCATTGTTTTTGATGTGTGAAACTTAAGATTTTTCTCTTCTCTTATATTATGTATCTTCCTAGTCTGTCATACATACATGTATCTTCCTAGTCTGACACACATACATGTATCTGTCTAGTCTGACACATATAAATGTATCTGTCTAGTCTGACACACATACATGTATCTTCCTATTCTGATACATCCATATATGTAACTTTCTAGTCTGACACACATACATGTATCTGTCTAGTCTGACACACATACATGTATCTTCCTATTCTGACACATCCATATATGTATCTGTCTAGTCTGACACACATACTTGTATCTGTCTAGTCTGAAACATATACATGTATCTGTCTAGTCTGACACACATACATGTATCTGTCTAGTCTGACACACATTCTTGTATCTGTCTAGTCTGACACATCCATATATGTATCTGTCTAGTCTGATACTCTTCCTAGTCTGACACATACATGTATCTGTCTAGTCTGACACACATACTTGTATCTGTCTAGTCTGACACACATACATGTATCTGTCTAGTCTGACACACATACATGTATCTGTCTAATCTGACACACATACATATATGTATCTGTCTAGTCTGACACACATACATGTATCTGTCTAGTCTGACACACATACATGTATCTGTCTAGTCTGACACACATACTTGTATCTGTCTAGTCTGACACACATACATGTATCTATCTATTCTGACACACATACATGTATCTGTCTAGTCTGACACACATACTTGTATCTGTCTAGTCTGACACACATACATGTATCTAACACATACATGTATCTTTCTAGTCTGACACACATACATGTATCTGTCTAGTCTGACACACATACATGTATCTGTCTAGTCTGACACACATCAATGTATCTGCCTAGTCTGACACACAAACATAATCTTCCTATTCTGACACATCCATATATGTATCTGTCTAGTCTAACACATACATGTATCTGTCTAGTCTGACACACATACATGTATCTGTCTAGTCTGTATCTTCATAGTCTGACACACATACATGTATCTGTCTAGTCTGACACACATACATGTATCTGTCTAGTCTGACACACATACATGTATCTGTCTAGTCTGACACACATACATGTATCTGTCTAGTCTGACACACATACATGTATCTGTCTAGTCTGACACACATACATATATCTGTCTAGTGTAACACATACATGTATCTTCCTAGTCTGACACATCCATACATGTATCTGTCTAGTCTGACACACATACATGTATCTTCCTAGTCTGACACATCTATATATGTATCTGTCTAGTCTGATACTCTTCCTAGTCTGACACACATACATATATCTGTCTAGTCTAACACATACATGTATCTTCCTAGTCTGACACATCCATACATGTATCTGTCTAGTCTGACACACATACATGTATCTGTCTAGTCTGACACACATACATGTATCTGTCTAGTCTGACACACATACATGTATCTGTCTAGTCTGACACGCATACATGTATCTTCCTAGTCTGACACATCCATATATGTATCTGTCTAGTCTGATACTCTTCCTAGTCTGACACACATACATGTATCTGTCTAGTCTGACACACATACATGTATCTGACTAGTCTGACACACATACATGTATCTGTCTAGTCTGACACACATACATGTATACTGTCTACTGACACACATACATGTATCTGTCTAGTCTGACACACATACATGTATCTGTCTAGTCTGACACACATACATGTATCTGACTAGTCTGACACACATACATGTATCTGTCTAGTCTGACACACATACATGTATCTGTCTAGTCTGACACACATACTTGTATCTGTCTAGTCTGACACGCATACATGTATCTTCCTAGTCTGACAGTCTGACACACATACATGTATCTGTCTATCTGTCATAGTCTGTCTAGTCTGACACATATACATGTACACACACATACATGTATCTTCCTAGTCTGACACACATACATGTATCTTCCTAGTCTGACACATCAATATATGTATCTGTCTAGTCTGATACACATACATGTACCTGTCTAATCTTACACACATACATATATCTGTCTAGTCTAACACATACATGTATCTTCCTAGTCTGACACACATACATGTATCTGTCTAGTCTGACACACATACATGTATCTTCCTAGTCTGACACACATACATGTATCTTCCTAGTCTGACACACATAAATGTATCTGTCTAGTCTGACACACATACATGTATCTATCTAGTCTGTCACACATACATGTATCTGTCTAGTCTGACACACATACATGTATCTGTCTAGTCTGACACACATACTTGTATCTGTCTAGTCTGACACACATACATGTATCTGTCTAGTCTGATACACATACATGTATTTGTCTAGTCTGACACACATACATGTATCTGTCTAGTCAGACACACATACATATATCTTCCTAGTCAGACACACACACATGTATCTGTCTATCCTGACACACATACAAGTATCTGTCTAGTCTGACACCCATACATGTATCTTCCTAGTCTGACACACATACATGTATCTTCCTAGTATCTTCCTAGTCTGACACACATACATGTATCTCCTAGTCTGACACACATACATGTATCTCCTAGTCTGACACACATACAAGTATCTGTCTAGTCTGACACCCATACATGTATCTTCCTAGTCTGACACACATACATGTATCTTCCTAGTTTGACACCCATACATGTATCTTCCTAGTCTGACACACATACATGTATCTCCTAGTCTGACACACATACATGTATCTCCTAGTCTGACACACATACATGTATCTGTCTAGTCTGACACACACACATGTATCGTCTAGTCTGACACACATACATCTGTGTTGTTGGTTACACATACATGTATCTGCCAAGTCTGATGGAAAGAATCTCTTACTATTCCAAAACATTATTGATTTTCCCCAGAAATAGCTACAATACAGCACATCTGAGTCTGTATGGAAGAGTGTTCAAGGGATTTGTTTTTATTTCTAACAGAAATTATTCAGCCCTGTTAGCTTCTGATTACAGCAGGATAGCATAGATTGGTAACACAAAATAATGTTTTCCAAAATATCAGGCATCCATTCAAACATCAAGCTAATTACAAAAGGCCCATAGGGTCTATCATGCAGCCAAATTAGTTTGTTGAAATTGCTTCATCTTAACTAAATGAAAAGTATTTGAAAGATTTACACCAATTTATTAGGCCTTGTCCCTCTGCCACATGGGAATCAGATGCATTGTTTATACAAAATTAAGTTGTCATCACTCATGGATGCTTTATAATACAAGAGTTCCATGGACTTTAACAATCATCGGACAATAAAGAAATATATATGAAAGCGGCTAAATATGCCTAAAATGAATTGCTCAAATATGCTTAAGTTTACAAAGACATTGTTGGTAAATAAACACATTTCCTGCAAAGATCTCAACTCACTCAACAGAAGAGAGTTTGAATATAGGTCAAGGAGGCTGGTAGTGATGACTGTAGTATAAGGAGTCTATGATACATCAAGATCAATTATTTGAACAAATCAGAAGCCATTCATCTACTTCAGCTAAAGAAACAATATCAACAGCCTGGACTTTTCTGTTAGTAAGAGGAAGTTGTTTGAAGATTTTAACACATTTGACCCCGTGGCCTTTGAAAAGAGAAAAGGTGATTTCATTTCAGTAATAATTACCATAACTTTAGTATGCAAATACAGTACCTACACCCATCTTTGTATCCCAACAACAAAAGATTCAAAAGAAAAACAATCCCGCCCTCCCTACGATCCATGAGCCATCACGGCAGGAACGCAGAGTGATCTCCCTTCCTCTTACCTTTATGGCTGCCGACGAGTGCGGAGGTGTCTGAGCTAAGTGCTTTTCTTACTCCTTCTCTTCGTACTGCCATTGTCGTTTGAGTATATTGTTACTCTATTAGTAGTCTATAAACCCATCTCCCAACTTATATTGTGAAATTAAGTATTGTCATTTGTTTATTTTGACCGTATTTCCGGCCGTTTTTTCCTCCACGTATTCGAGTGTGTGACTACTTGTCTCGTTGCTCGGATTTGCGTGAAGTTGGAATTTGTTTTCTTGCTGCTTTGTCGGCCGTGTTGTACGGCCGTTTTATTTATGCAGTGCAATCTTGCTGCGTACGGTAGGCTTTGTGCTCTCGTTCGTAGTTTTTTGATTGTTCGAGAACTTCGTTTCCGGCCGTGTTTTTCCTCCGCGTGTTCGAGTGCGTGACTACTTGTCTCGTCACTCGGATTTTCGTGAAGTTGAAATTGTTTTCTTGCTGCTTTGTCGGCCGTTTTGTATGACCGTTTTCTTTTTTCGCAGTACAATCTTGCTGCGTACGGTAGGTTTTATGATCTCGTTCGTAGTTTTTTGATTGTTAGAAAACTTTTTATCCTTGTTTTCATTGTTACAATTTTTTATTGTTTCGATGCTGGATAAAGGTGCCGGGTTTACGTCGGGGGTCAGCGCATGGATGTTCCTATTTCTATAGATAATGGGAACCCCATGATACCTGTCCCATTTGCCGACATTACAGCCAGACCTCACTATGTGAACTTTGTTTGCACATGGAGTCTGCTGCTTAGGCTCCCATGCCTTTCCAGCTAACTTTCCGCCGGAAGAGGGATTCGTCCTCTTCTTCCGGTAAGGGAAGTAAGCTTTTTAAGACCTCCCTCCTGAAGTTCTGAACCAGAGCGTTCCTGCTGGGGGTGCTCTCGTTCCACCGAGCTCCGCCCTTCAGCAGGGGGTGGCTCCCCTGTCCAGGTGCGTCCTGGAGTAGGGGGGGCAGCCCGACCCTGACTCGGCGCAGTCAAGGGTCGAATTGGCCGGTAGCTCTCGATAGGCGGCGGTGTTACCGTCGGAAAGGGACTTCCGGTCGAGGTCTCTGATTCCTTCAGGGACCTCGGCACGCCAGGTGGCG